TTCTTCAAGTACCCCCAGGGTCTGAAGGGTGTTAGCTCCCTCCTAACCTAATCATGTGTTCCCCATAGCTGTACCACATGGTAAGGACCTTGACCCCACTTCATAAAGAGGGGAACTGAGGCTGAGGGGCTGCACATCCTTGCCTAGGGTCACAGGGCAAGAAAGTAAGGGGTTCTGCTGGTGACTCTCAGGAGGGGAGGTGGGCAGCCCTCTTGTCATACCCTCCTTCCTCCCAGGCACCCACCCTCCCATCTGTGGATCCATGGTGGTGGCCACCATAGGTTGTGTAGGGCCCTAACCCAGCCCCTCTCAGAAGCCCCTGAGCTCCAGTCTCCATCTCTGCCCCCCACTACGGTGGCCACCCCTTAGACCTTGTTGGTGAGCTGTACCCACCAATCACCAGAAGAGGTTGAGGGGAGTAGGAACTAGACCTGGGCCGCAGCCCAAGGAGCACAGAGGGGTTGGGGCCTCTCCTGGCCCAGCCAGGAACACCACAACTACCACCCCCACTGAAACCACACCCATGGCAGTTGCCCTCCCTGTGCCCAGAGGGCCTGCACAACCATGAGTACAGCTGTCACACCCTGCTCTGTACAAAGCCACCATAGGGGCCCCAGCCTGCCCTGGCCACATGGAACCAAATATCCAGGGCTTGGGGGGGGGGTGTCAGCTGATACAAGGGAAGAAAGAGAACAGGCCAGAGGAAAGCTCCCTGAGGCCACCCCAGCAACAGCAAAGACATAGGTTCTTCTGGGTTCCCCAGGAAGAAAGGCTAAGGGGAAGCTGAATTGGCATAGCTTTGTCCTAGGAAGTAGAGAGTCTGTCCCCGCACAGCCCTACAAATAAACAAGGTACTCATAGCCCAGCTGAGGACACACACAGGAGGGCAAGCAGCTCCTTCTCCACAAAGGAGACTTCTGATCACTGAGCTCTGCTTCACCGGGGTGGGGGCAGCCACTGTGCCACATGAGCCACACGTCAGCCTTATTCTCCCAGCAGCTCCATGAAATTAACATCAACCTCACCTCTAGTCAGAAGAGCCAGGGAAGCCACAACACTGTGCCCATCTGCTCAGGTACTCAGACCCTGCATTAAGTCTCAAACTGGTCTGATGAAGAGCCCAGGCCAGCCAGGGAAGAGTTACCACAGCAGGGGCCAAGTACCCTCAGATGAGTGCCTTCCTCTCACTCTGCCTCAGTTTCCATACCTGCCAAAAAGGGCCCCAGCCTCTCCACTGGTGTCAAGTAGACACCAGACCATCCTACCCCAGGGGGAAGGAGCTAGGGTAGAGGAGTCAACGCCCCATTCAGCAGGGCCCCTCCTGGCTCCAAGGCCCTGCTCAGGCGGGAAAGGCCCCACTTGGCCTTGAAGTCTCTAATTAGAGCGTGTTACTATGGAAACAGGGTTTTCTTCAGGATTTTTCTTTTCACCAACAGCAGCACAGAAAACCTGAGTCACAGGAGCCCGAGGGAGCCAGAAGATGCAGAAGCTCCTCCCCATCCTCCTTCCTGGTGGCTTCCCCTGTCCCGAGCTTCCCATCTCCCCCTTTCAGGCCTCAGCAGTTCCCAAATTCCCCGGGGCATGTTCAAAATAGGCAGCCCCCTCCCCAACTCATTTAGGGAAGGGAGTCTAGAATTATTTATGGCTTCATCTCCCCTCCCCTCTTTCCAGTCAGCTCTAACAAGTACCTGACCACTTCAAATTCCTCCTCTGTCCTTACTCAAGCCATTCTCCAGGCTTGGAATGTCCCATCACATAGGGAAAACTTTTATACATCCTGCAAAGCCCAATGTAACCAGCCCTTCCTCAGCCAGCCAGCTCCAGAATTGTTGGGACAAGTTACTTCTCCAGCCAGCCTGCAGGCCAAGTAGGTTCAAGGCCTGATATGGAGCTGCCAGGGTGCAAGGAGACTGGCAGGAGAAGACACTGACAGCTGCAAGACGAGACAAGACAAGACAAGAAGGGAAATGGGGTGAGCTGTAGTGCAGAATCTGAGCCTGGGCAGGTGAGGATCCTGAAGAGCAGGGAAGAGACCCCACTTGGGGCATGATGGTGGAAGGACAAAAAAGCACTCACTCAGGCAGCCTAGCAACCCGGGGGCAGCCCAAGGGGGCCTGGAGCCCACACTTTACAGATGGAGAAACTGAGGCTGGGAAGTAGGCTGCAGCTTCTTCTGGGAGCACCCCACCGCCACCAGCCCAGCCTGTGCAGGCCTGCAGGGATGATTCACATCCCCTAGCCTGCAAGCCCCAGCCTCTTCCTTCCTGGCTGGCACTTCCCAGCACATGTGTTGGAAGCAGAAACACCGCCTTCTTGCCACGCAGGCCTGTCCAAAATGTCCTCTCAGACACACACCCCCACTCCCACCTGTGAAGGCTCCTGTTCCTTGGAAGTCCTGGAGGTTGGCTGACATGGGGAGAAGACAAAGACCTCAAGATCTGAGGCCAGTGGAGCCCCAGCCTCAGACCCCAAAGCTCCCACCACCACTCCCAGTTCCATGTCCCTTTAGACTCAGAGATGAGCTGACACCTCTCCTGAGTAATTTCTGGCTCCTCCTGCCCCATCAGCCTGAATCACTACCATGATGCCTCCAAAAAGCTTTACAAAAGAGGGGGGATCTGCTCAGGCTCGCCACAAACACCCCCAGGCTCTCTGCTCCTTCCCGGCCCCAGGACCATGGCCATCAGCTGTGGCAGCATCTACAGGCTGGAAGGCAAGAGCCTATCTCTATGCTGATCACCTATGAAGGGTCCTGTGGCCCTGCTGGCCCCTCCAGTCCCATCTCTCAACTCACAAGCTTCCTCCCACTCACACTGGATTCCTGTGCCTTCCTGTGTTAACGCCTTTGCACAGGCTGAACCCTCTGCCTGCAACACCATCCCACACATCTGACTTGTGCTATACCTTCTATCTGTCCTCAGGCCAAACATCCTTCTCAGAAAGGAGCCCTTCATTTAATCTGGGAGTCTAAGGTACTTCCTATTCCTCAGTCTTTACCTTGACACTTCATCATTTCCCCAAGTATGTAAACCCCACTACTCATTTGCTCATGGTTCAGCATGCCCCCCCCTTAGCAGGGGCCCAATGTCTGCTGAACAAGTGCAGGATTCTGTTCACCCCACCCTTCAAGGGACAGGAAAAGGGAGGAGGAGAGGAGTCCATATAAGACCCATTCTTCAGTCAAATACACCTCGTTCTTACTTGCCATCACCTAGGGCAGATGGCTTCACCTTTATGGCCTTAACAGAGCAATCTCAGGCACAAAACAGCCATCACCTCACCCACGCCTCCACTTTCACCCCCACTGCTGTGGGGGTCTTGCCCTTTCTGCAGAGCCAACTAAGAGGGCGGCCATCAGGAGGGCTCCTTCCACCGGGAGGGAGAGAAGAAGGAGGGAACAGCGACCGGACTTCCATCCAGCTATCTCTAAGGCTTGGGGTCCAACTTCCCCATTCAGGGGCGCAAGATTCCCACAGACCCCTCTGGCTGTGGCAATCAACAGCCTCTTCTCAAAGGAGTGGAAGAAGACTCCAGAGGTGGAGGGAGAACCAGCCTAGGCGGGGGATGTGAGAAGCAAACGCGGAGGCTCACTTGAGGGGGCTCAGTTCTGGCACACATGCCGCAGCAAATGGCCGTGTCTGCGGGAGGCCCTGGAGGGGATGGATCGAGTTGCAGTCAATTGTTCCCGGCGAGAGCCCTAGGGATGGGTTCACTCGGGGGTAGGCGCTTCCTGAGGGAGCCAGGATGGGGTCTCCCAGCTCCCGCCGAGGCAGCCCTGGGTCGCCAGAGGAGCGAAGCGCAGCGCACCGGCCCAAGACGCGCGCAGCGGGCGCAGGGCGGGGTGCCTGGAGGGCGGCCACCCGCGCCACGCCGTTCCCAGGCCACCACACGAGGAGGGAAGGCGCCTGCTTGGTAGCCTCCGGACCCGGCCCTGAGACAAGGCCTGGGGGCGGTGCGGGGGCTCCACTGCAGGGGGGCCGGCAAAAGCCGATCCCTTCCCCCTCCCCGCCGCATCTGGTTTTCCCATCTGCAAAGACCGAGCAGGACAAAGGGGGCGAGGGAGAACCCAGTCGAGGCGACCCGCCCCCCTGCGCACAAAGGCCGCGGCCTCGAGCGCAGGACAGACGCGGGAGGAGGGGCTGGGGGAAGGGCAGACACTCCGGGCAACCCCCTAGCGGAGGCCGACCCCGCCCGGCAGCCGGAGGAGGTGGAGGAAGGCTAGGCAGAGTGGAAGCGCACCCTACCGCGATCAAAGGCCCCGCTAACTTCCCCCACCCAGCCCGCGAAAGGGGGGAGGGACGCGCCCAGGGCGTGTAGAGACCCTCGCCTAGTCCCTAGAGCTAAAGGCCTACCGACGCGGGGCTAGGAGAGAGATGAGGAAATGGACCGGGGGCGCCCCTCCCCAAGAACTGGGACCGCCCATTCAAGAGATCCGCGCGCGCGGGGAGAAGCCAGATTGGGCTGGGGGTTCGGAGGGTGGCACCTACAGCTGCGCCTACGCGGGGCCTAGGGAACCCACGACCCCAGCTCGGCTGGGAGGTGTGTATGGGCGCCGGAGGACGGGCAAAGCCCCACCCCTCGCCCCCTCCTCCAGGCAGGAGCCTAGCGTGGGCGCACAGGGCGCCACTCGAGACTGCAGCGGCACCGCGGTCGAGAAAAGGCGGGAGGCTGGAGGGCCGCGGGTGGGGTGCGCTTTGTGCATGTACTGGGAGAGGCGGGGTCAGCGTCCCCACTCACCCTGGCGTGTGGACACGTTCCTCTCGTTGGCCGCCTGGAGCACGACCTGGGCGCAGCTCTGCTCGAGGGCGAAGAGCTCGTCCTTGCCCACCTTGGTGGCCTTGCCAGCCTTGAGCGTGCCGCTGGGCCCCGACGGCGCCAGGTAACGGCCTTCGCAGTCGCGGAAGGCCACCTTGCCGGAGCGGAATTCTAGCGTGTAGCCGGTGGCGGGCTCGGGGCGCGCCACCAGGCGCCCGTCGTGGCGCAGGAAGCGGTGGTCGGCGGTCTGCACACTGTAGCGCTGGTCCTGGAAGGCTAGCGTGATGAGCGAGTCGACGCCCCAGGGCACGTCGCGGTCCACCGCGATCTCGTCCGCCGGCCGCGCGCTCAGGTGCGCGTAGCGCTTGCGGGTCAGGCTGTAGATGTTGACCTGCGGATGCATGGCGATGTGCACGCTCCACTTCTCAGCTGGGGACACGGTCTGCGCGAAGCACGACAGGCGGTCCTCGGTGCCGCCGAAATACCGCCGGTGCGCCTCGGACTGAAGCGACCATCGGCCATCGTCGTGAGCCACGATGAGGAAGCGGCAGTCGGCGCTGGGCACCTCGCGCTCACAGGTCACGTTACCGTCCTTGTCCGCCGCCAGGTAGCGGCCCAGGTGGCTTCGCAGGCACACGGCCGCGCTGCCCGCCTCGTCGGGCGGCTGCTCCAGCGTCCAGATCTGCTTCTTCTTTAGGCTACTGGCCGATGCGTTCACCTTGAAGCCGAACGCTTCGGCCGTCAGGTACTTGTTGCCGCAGTTGATGAGGCCGAACTGGATCTGCACCGCCTCGGCCGTGCCGTTGGCGGTCATGGTGGCTGCGGGCTGGAGGCCGGCGCGGCCCCGGGTGGTCAGTGACGGGTCCGCGGCGACGCTCCTGCTTCTTTGTTCGGCTACCGCAGCCCGCGCTCTCCCTCCGCAGCTCTCCACAAAGCCGGCCCGCACAGCCGGAGCTGCTTTATAGGCGCGGTGACGTCAGCGCCGCAAAGCCCCGCCCCGCCCCGGCTCGGCGTGGGAGGGGTCAAGGGAGCAGGCTCTGCGGCTCTGGGTACCCCCCCCGTCAGGGGCAGGCAGAGGGGGAGACTTGGCTCTTGGGTTCGCCCCGCCTCTGCAGCCATCCGCTGTCCCAGTGCCATCGCCCTACCCCGCAGCGCCGCCGCCTGAGGACTCACCCCCAGCTCCTGGCGCCAACCACTTAACCTTCGGATACCCCCCCCAACTCCAGCCTAGTGGGAAGAAGGACAAGCCAGGCCTGGGGTTGGCTCACAGACTGCATAGACCCCCGCGCAAATCGATGCTGGTTGAGGTGAGTCCGAAGCCTTGAAGTCACCAAGAGGCAGACAGGTAGGAGAAGGAACCGGGTCTTAACCGGAGTTGGGGTGGAGCCTGCAGAACCCAACACACCCAACACCCTTGCAGCCTGACCCTCCAGAGCAGGGCCCCAGAGCCACTGTCCCGAAGGCCACCCAGGCCCCTCCCTGGGGCTCAAGCACCCACTGCTGTGATCCAAATGGGTCTCAGCGATTGTGGCCAAGTCAGTGGCCAACGTTCCCATTCTGCCCATGCATAGGAAGCCAGAGTTCTGGTTCCACCAGCCAGGGGTGGGGGGCAGAGCCCTAAGAACTGTTCAGGGAGAAGGCCGGCTGCGGTGGCTCACGCCTGTAATCCTAGCACTCTGGGAAGCTGAAGTGAGTGGATTGCTCGAGCTCACAAGTTGGAGACCATCCCAAGCAAGAGCGAGACACTCATCTCTAAATACGGCCCGACCTTGTGGCAGGCACCTGTAGTCCCAGCTATGTGGAAGCCTGAGGCAAGAGAATCACTTGAGCCCAAGAGTTTGAGGTTGCTGTGAGCTGTGACACCACGGCACTCTACTGAGGGTGACAAAATGAGACTCTGTCTCAAAAAAGAACCGTTCAGAGAGGTTGGGCAACTATGGGCCAGCTCAGCCGGAGGGTCAGAGCCCAGGTCGTTGGTTCTAAGGTCAGTGTGGCGTCCACACCTGCCACCTCCCACCAAAGCCCCAGTTTCATGGCACTCTGAGCTAGGCACACAGTTGGGGCATGGCTTTGGTGACAGCCTCCATCCTCAAGACCCCAACTCTCCATCCTCTGCATTCCCTACAGACACCACCTCCCACCCCTCACTCAGCCACCCACCCTATCTAGGAACATGTCCCTTTTCTGAGCTTCTCTAGAGGCTGAGACTTTTCCTGGGACATTCCCCACATGCCAGGCAGGCCCTTGGAATGCCAGCATGACCACAGGCTGCCCACAAGGTCTCAGGCCAGGGCCCTTCCTAGGCCAGCTGCAAACTGGAGCACTGAACTAGCCCGGGTCTTCAGCCTGTCCTTCTGTTAACCTGATTGTTCTGGCTGGTCTGCAGCCTGTGCCTGTATCCCCCACCCCCACCCCAGCAGTCCCCTCCAGGGATTTTCAATGAGGAAGGTAAGATGGTGTCACTTTCTACCCATCCTGGCTCAAATTGATTTCCTGGCAGGGACTAGAACCCCAGACCAGGCATGCCTGTAGCATCCTCTCCCACAGAGCCCACCCCTTTGAGAAACAAGAAATCAAAAGTTTTTCCATTTGAGGTTACCTAATGGGTCATGCATACCTGGGCTTAAAACCCAGCTGCTCATTGGCTGTGTGATTTTGGGCAAGTTACTTAACCTCTCTGAGCCTCTATTTCCACTGTAGATAAGATAACAAATGTGGTCAGAGCTGGATAAATGCCAGATGTTTTATTATTTACTTAACAACACTGACCAGAGGGTCCTGGAAACACAAACAGTCTGTTTGAAACTTTAGGCCAGAATTTTTTAATCTTTTTTAATCTCATAGCAAACTTGAACCTACAGGTAAACTTCCATGGCACACTTAAATTATGCTTGACGCCTGTAGCACAGTGGTTACAGCACCAGCCACGTACACCAAAACTAGTGGGCTCAAACCCGGCCAGGGCCAGCTAAACAACAATGACAACTGCAACAAAAAATAGCCAGGCATTGTGGCACACCTCTATAGTCCCAGCTACTAGGAGGCTAAGCCAAGAATATCGCTTAAGCCCAGAATTTTGAAGTTGCTGTGAGCTATGATGCCACAGCACTCTACCCAGGGCGACATAGTGAAATTCTGTCTCAAAAAAAAAGAATATCTTACTGTGCTTTGAATTTCTTTTGAAAATAATTTAAGTGGCTTGGCACCCATAGCTCAATGGTTAGGGTGCTGGCCATGTGCACCCAAGCTGGTGGGTTGGAGCCCAGCCCAGGCCTGCTAAACAACAATGACAACAAGAACAACAACAACAAAAATAGCCAGGTATTGTGGCAGGTGCCTGTAGTCCCAGCTACTTGGGAGGCTGAGGCAAGAGAATCACTTAAACCCAAGAGTTTGAGGTTGCTGTGAGCTGTGATGCTACAGTACTCTACAGAGGGTGACATAGTGAGACTCTGTCTCAGGGG